AGTTATACAGATCCTCTGTATTAAGAAGATAATGGAGAGATCGTGCAAACATACTTTGTAAGTCTCTTACAGTATCTACCTATCCAATAACAACCCAATTGTTTTGGACAGGGATATGGTTTCCGTAATATTTAGGAACTGTTAATGTAATGTAATTCATTTCATTTCTATGAATTTGTTGTTGAAAAGAGGCCGCCACTAGTGGAAGGCATGATAGTTAATAGTGAAGTGTCAGGATTGCATAAATGACAGAGCTATGTGCTTTTCGAAGACATATGAGAATTGCTGTTTGCTTGTCACACCACACCTACATCTACGTCTGATTCTAATTCATTTCTTTTATTAAGTACAATGCAGTAATTCTGCCTCCGTTAGGAAGCCAATTTGTCTCATTCGTATTATCAATACCAATGGATGGTTGTTCTTCGACAAATTATTAATAATATTGCAAAATTTTGAATATATTTGCAAATATTATTTTTAATTAAATTTATCACAAACTTTAAAAAACCAAAAAATCTATCTCAAAGGTCATGTATTACAATCCGTGACTGTGTTTTACTATGAAAATTATTGTTATATTTGGAATATTTTGTAAAGTCTAATGCTAAATTTGTTATACATATAATACAGTAAAATTAACCTACAAGATTTAAATCAACTGTTTGACATTAATTGTCACTAAATTAATATTAAAATCCCGGTAGATGGTACCGCACTAAATATTTGGGCTTCAGTTACTCTTTCACTGTAGTAGTAAGTAACAATAAACAGTATTCCATCAAACTTCTAAACGAAAAATTTGTACTTCATAATACAACAACATTTAATTGAAATCGGAAATTTTAAGGATAAACTGTTTTTTCTCATTTGACATAATTTAATTGTTTTATATTCTCATAAATATTTTTCTCTTCTTTCTTTCTCTTTTACTGTCAATGTTTTTGTCACCAATTTAATTTTTATCTGTTTTCCTCATTTTCTGTTTGTCAAATGCGACTAAACGATTCATGATTGATTCACGACGTCCTTGTAAATTATACAAAGGTGGGTGAAAATTATTCTTTCTTTTGTGAAAGAAAAATAAACAAGAGAAAAAAAAGAGAAAGGAATAAAAATCATGTACGACTACATGTTAAAAATATAAGTGAAGCTAGTTAGTTAGCATCTTAAAATATTTTTAACTACTATTATTATAATTTTTTAGTTTTTTTAAATAAAACATAACTTTCGTGATTTATTATAAATTATTTAAAGAAAAACATTCAAATCACATAAATAAATTCAGTGATTTACCATGAAAAACTTACGAATATTGTCGTGGAATAAATTTAAAATTTATAAAATATAGAAAACCTTTCCACACATAATTATAGATTTCATGAATGTCTTGGCAAATAAACTAATTGATTATTTTGTTGTCCAATACAATGTATGTATGTATATGGATACAATGGAATATGGGTACATCTAAAGGATTTCTATTATACACAAATTTACATATACATACAATTATTTAATTAATGTCTCCGAGGAAAACCATTCTTCCTGAATAAAATTATCTTAATTAACCTCTTTGGTATGGCATAATTGAACAAGAAAGTATGAAATTTATGAAATATAATATTACATGAATATGGTGTATAAACATATTAAAAATTATTTGATTAATTAAGACTGGTAAAATTTTATTTCTTAATATTGAATGCTTAATATATTGTAACTCATATTTTAACGTTACATGATAAGTTGTTTAGGAAATTGAATTATCAAAAATTTTATTAAGCAATTGCAATAATTTGAAAATTTTCACATAAAATTTTGTATAAAACATAAAATAATAACAATTTATAAAATTTCAGTATTCTTAGAGTCAATTTGTAAAATTATTAACTACTTTGGAAAAAACGTGCTTGTTTTGGAGTGTCTAATACTGAATTTTGGATAATTCAAAGTGTTGAATCTTTAAAAAATATTTTGTTACAAACTAACAATACATAAATTGTTCTAGATAATTTTCTTATATCAATCAAGAATATTTTCGACACAATTTACTTAAAATGTAAAATATATTCCTTAGAGATTTCATTGCATTCATAATGCAAAAATAATTAAATTTACTCACTTACATTGGCATATACGATTTTATAAAGCGTATACGTAATATATTTTTAAATAATCTCTCAAAACCGCGCATAAACAAATAAATTAATTTATATATGATTTAAATAGAGTCATCGAGCTTCGATAATTTATATAAAAATTATAACATAAATGGCCATCTGAAATAATGAGAATTTTGAACGTTTATTTGACAATTTTAAATAGAAGCTCACAAAACCCCAGCTTCCAGCTAAATGAAAATTCAAAACATTTTCGTAAAAGTTTACTGCCGAAAAGCAATAATGTGATGGATATTCAATGTATTTTTGACAATTCAATAAAATAGTTTATATGACTTAAATGCACACTCATAACAAATTTCATTGTATTATTCCTTAATTAATTCAAATTTCAGTACAAAATCAAAGTTACAAAATTGATTTACAATATTTTCTACAGCGCAATTTCGGCTATACATAATATATCGCGATACATTGTGTTTATGAAAACTCCCTTTCCTATACTCTACAAAACACTTCGAAAAAAATTTTTCTAGGTATTCTACATTTTTAGACCTATTAGCATACAATTTTTCATTTTTAATGTCGTGTTATTAATTTTTGTTTTATTAAAAACTTGATGTGGACAGCCGCAACACTTATTTAGTTAACCGACCGCAACACTTATTTGCAGAATAATATTAGAAAATCTGTATTAACATATTTTTATTAGTTTAATGAAGACTTGTATAGTTTTTGATAAGACTTTAAAGCACACTGGTACACTCATGCACCTCCAGAATGTGTAAATTTTATGTCTTAGCACTTCTCTTTTTATAATTTAATTTCTACGAAAAGTTTTCCAGTAGGTTTAATTAAATAAACAGAATATTATTAATAAATTTCAAGAAATTTCGTTAGCCAGTTCCGTAAAATTATAAATATTCGACCCCTGATGTAAGTCTGGTTTTCGAGCTTTAATATTCCCAGAAAAAAATTTGTTGGTTTGTTGTGGTGGTGGTCCAACCACCATTAAAATATTGTAAAATATTAAGAAATTGTTCGATACGAAATTTTAAATCCGATCAACACATTTTTGATTAAATTTGCAAGATCAATGGGAAATGTTTATACTTGCAATGCACTAATTAAGAAAAAAAATACCTGGTTTTAACTTTTAAACAGATACTGGTATAATAACAAGTTCAGTGTAATACGATTGGAAAAAATTTGCTAAAGATAAAAATCTTTAATACTCAAAATTATTTATTAAAAACAAATTAAAATAAAGTTCAATTAAAAAAACATTATGCAGACTTTCAATTATTTATAACACCAAAATTATCGTTAATCTACATAATGGATTTCTACCGAAAAAAACTGAAAATCTATCGATTTTTTTAATTAAAACTTATAATGTAAAAGAAATATTAACACTTGTTTTATTCAATCATAAGTCACACATGTTTCAAATTTTCTCATTGTCTAAAACAAATTCATTGCCTCAAGCGAAAGCAATACTTACTCCATGTACGAATGTATAGTAATTGATTTTAATTCAATTATAATAACATTTTTTTCGATGAGCTTTCACTCAATTTTGAATTCAGGTTATCTAGTAAAAATTTTAATAAATAATTTTGTTAAAAAAAAAATTTATTTTTAAATTTTTTTATTGTATGAGAAAATTTGGAATTTTATTACACTTTCTAAATCAACACAGTGAAATATTGAATAATATTGAATTATTGTTCCTTTAAATAGTATAGTGTAAATGCAATTGAATTGTAAAAACTACATTGTGTTAAGGAGACCCTAAGATAGCATGTGATTACATAAATAGTAGGACTTTATGGTTAAGCAACAGAGTGAATGTATATTCGTTCAATTAGCCGTATATTCGTGCAGCGAACAGGAGTGGCCTCGTTTATATCAATTGTTATATTATAAAATATAATAAAAACCAATCATATCTACCTGAATTATAAAAATTCTAAATACTTTATTGAAAGTTTTATCAGCTAAATTTAAAAATTTCTGACGGAAATTCCCTGTAATAACTATAAGTATGAAGCATGAAACAACGTAAATACTAAGCTATGGATAAACTCTTTTAACCTATATTTTTTTTAAAGCATCTTGTTCAGATATTTGCGTCAATTACTAATTTTACTGAAAAACCTTTTTGGAAGTTCTCGTTCTTTTAAATCAAGTGTTAAATCGGAGTATAATCAAAGTATTCAGTGCATGCAATAATTGAAGAAAAAATTTTATAAAAACGAACGCAACAGAGCCTATTTTATCATTTAATAATTTTTCAAATTTGAAGTGTCAAAAGAGCGTGGCTTAATGAAACCTGAATATCTTTTCCGAGTACATAGAGTGCGTTCTGAATATGTTTTGGTTGCAAAAAATGAACACTCTAAGGTAAAAAGCGAAGCCGGCTATATTCTAAATCTGCCCTGATGTAAAAAACGTCTTCAAAAGTTCTATTTTCATGTACGTAAAATGCAGAATATAGAGTAAACATTTAAATACAAATTGAATTAAGTACTTCAAAATTGCTTTGTGTCAAAAAAATTTCTACTACTTAAATTGCGATCTATGAGCATTTCCTAAATTCAATTTAACAATCGTGACATTTTTTTTTTCTTCTCATTTATTTTACATTTTGTGTTTTCATAACTCTATAAACAAAGAACTTGTATTGGCATAATAAGTTTTGTGTATTATTAAGTTATTATCGAATTCAAAAAAGGAAAGTCTACATTTAGTTTTAATAAAACAAAAAAAAAACCTAGACCTAGACAATGAATAAACAACTTCCTTATTTGCAATAAAAATTTTTAATCTCATTATTTTTTTAATTTTTAAATTTTTTTTTCTTTTTTATTTTAGGTATAGCAATATTTCTTGTTATCACAATATGCGATGCAGGATCTAAGGTAAGATTTTAATTTTAAACTCAAATAAAATACCTTATTTTTTTTTCGGTTTTCTTTAAATTTAAAAAATGTTGTGTAAAAAATCTAGCAGCCTACATCAATAACAACTCTAAGTTTTGAATTTCTTTGAATATGACTCAACATCAAATATGACAAAATACTTAATACTCGTATTATGCATATACTGAATGACAATTACAATTATTCAAAAAAATGTCAAATTCATAATAGAATGTACATGCTAAATGAATTTTATAAAAAATAATGACATTAAAATGACAAGTCACATAGAGTAAAATTATTAATATTAATTATTAATTGTTTGAGGGTACTCCTCTGCAATACATTTTTTCATAAAAATGACAACGATAGTAAAATTTGTAAGAACGAGAAAAAAAGTAGAGTTGACCTTGTCAACTCTGTGATACCCGTACGAATTTGTTATCCTATGTGCGAATAACTAATGTGCCATAACTAACTATGGGGCAGACTATGACTTTAAGTTGCCGTATTACCATATTAATTTATGCAAAATTTCAGTACTATGTGTTTTTCAATATTGGTTGTGCCAAACTACTATTGAAGTTGTATGGCAGCTAGCAGAAAGAGCCAAGAAATTTTAGCGAATTTTATGAAGCACATCAGCCCTGCTAATATATTCGCTTGTGTGAAATTTCAATAACACAGCTTTAATAGTTTCTGAAATATAGTCAAATAACTTTTGAAGTTGTATGACAGGTACCAGAAGGAGCCAAATAATTCCAACGACTTTTATGAGACACATTGGCCCTACTAATATATTCGTTTGTGTGAAATTTCAAAACCATAGCTTTAATAGTTTCTGAGATATAGTCAAATAACTTTTGAAGTTGTATGGCAGGTACCAGAAGGAGTCAAGTAATTTCAACGAGTTTTGTGAGCCACATTGGCCCTACTAATATATTCGTTTGTGTGAAATTTCAATACCACAGCTTTTATAGTTTCTGAGATATAGCCAAATAAATTTTGAAGTTGTATGGCAGCTACCCGAACCGGTACCCCGATCATGTCCAATTTAAATAGGGTTCTGGCACTTACTACAATAAATCATTTGTGAAAATTTGGTGAACTTAGCTTATCGTTCGGACGGACGGACGGACGGACAGACAAAGCTAAATCAACTCAGAATTTGACGCGTAAGGCAAATTTAGTATACCCTTCGAACATACGTTCGTACGGGTATAAAAATGTTTATTTTAAGGTTATGTTATACATGAATATTTTTAAATTTACATTTTACTGTTGCACAAATGCTTATATACACAGATTTTAATACAAAAATGTATGCAATTTAAAAAGTGAGTACAATTTTTTTTACAACAATGAAGAAATAGAAAAACTCCTTTTCTTAAAAAAAGAAATTTTGTAAGAGAAATTACAGGGAAAAATATTTTTTCTATGTACCATAGTTTTACAAAAATTAATCTAAGCAAAAATAATGATTTAATCGAAAATATTTGAAAGTACATAATATAAATAATGTAAAAATTTTAAAAACTCTGTAACTAAGGATGTTGTCATTGTCATTCATTAATTGGAATTAAAACTCGCTATCCGTTCTTAATTAACAAGATTTCCAAATGTCGAAATCCTTCTATTGATTCGAATTTTTGGAAAAGATAAGAACAAGTTACACAAAAATTGCATAATTACAAAATGTCATTATCTATGTTATATAAAATATTTTGTTTAACTTATATGTTATAGGAGGAGGTGAACTCAGTTCTAGAATTTATAGTTCATAGAAAAGTCATCCTTTACGGTCACAAATTTGTAGTCTTAGTTCTATATTATAAAACCGACATTTTCTCATAAATTCGTGCATCAAATTTTCAATCATAATCATAAAGCATAAATCAAAGTAAAATTTCCATACATCTTTAATTCTATCTATCCAGAGACTCTATTCTGCCGCCCTTAAATTAAGTCAGGTTTTTTCATAGGAAAATGCTGCCTTAATGAGATGGCTTCCGCGTTCCGTATGTGGTATTCTGTCATTTGCATATTAAAATCCATATTAAAATAAATTCTTTATATAGATAGATTATTGAAAGAATGTTTAAAAAAGAAATTAATTCATATGTAATTCATAAAATTAATTATTCATGCAAGTTAATAAAAAATTCTGTTTGATAACAATTTCTCTACCACTCTGGATTATTACCTTATGTTGGATCTATTGTAATTATATAATATTATGAAACTGTTTATGTATATAGATAAAGATAAGACTTTTAAATACCAATAATTTAAAATGTTTATTGCAGCATTAATTTTGAGTTAAACTTAGTGATATTTTCAATTAAGTTTAGCATGATACTTTATACTATTCCAAAAGATTTCATATAATTTTCTAATTACATCTAAATTTTAGTTAAAAATCTTATTTTGAAATCAATATCCTTACATCCTTTTAAATAAACGTATACAATATTACTTAATTAAATTATTCCCACATTCCATAAATAAATATCTTCAATATACATTCATATGCTTATATGTGATTTAGGTATGTGCCTAGGTAATAGATTATCTATGAACATAAGATTAATAAAATTATTTTTTTCTGTATAATAAAATTCAATTAACTAGAAAACCATTATTAATTCACCTTAAGGTAAATTTCTTTTCTCTTCTTTCCTTTTTTCAAATAACTTCATTTTTAAAAACATTTCCTAATTTTCCTTAATCGATTTAATAAAATGTCTTGTATATACAATAAAAAATCTATGTATATGGAAGACATCAAAGAAGATCCCAAGTTAACATGAAAATAACTGGTAAAATACTGGTAAATATCAATATAACAGTATTCATTCTTTTCTCTTCTCCACAATTTTGTATTCAAATAACTACAATTTAATTTTTTTATATATAGAAAGCCAAGCCTATGCATTTAATTAAAAAACTGTTTTTATACATGAAGAGATACAAGCGATTACTAGGTATAGCTTTCTTAGAAGAAAAACAATAATAAAATTGCATAATTTATTGCAAATACTTGATAATAAAAAATGCCTACAGAGCGGATAATCTTCTTTATTTTTCTTTTTTCTCTTGTGTTTTTGTTGTTACTAAGAAATTACAACTCTTCCAAATCTTTACTAATTATTGTTAAAGTTGTAATAAAAATTATAGGAAAGTTCTAATGAAAATTTATTAATGAAATAGAAAATTTTTGGTTGGAAGATCAATCCAAGATTATGTAGACAACTATCATCACTAATGGTCTCATGACCTTTAAAAATTATTTGTAAAGAATTTTAGAATGACACAGCTACAGATATTAAATGCATAAGATAACGATTTTTAATGAAATTTAAAGAATTTAAAAAATTTGACATTTTATATTTGTATACATTGAGGTTTATTTATTTGCACTGCATATAAATTGCATATTTGCACGGAAATGTTTTTTTTTAATAAAAATTTGCAAAATTTCCAAAAACTGCTTTGTTGCTTAGCATTTGCAAAGAAAAACTTTCAAAAAATTTAGCAGATGAGCAAAACACAATAGAAAATAAGCGTCAATAAGCCGTAAATTTTCTTAAGCAAAAACGTAATTTCACTTGCCAAAATTTTAAAGAGAGCCGTTTATTTTTAATTCTCTCTTCTTTTAAAATGTGTTTATAACGCATTATTTTTCGAAAGTTCCCATAAATTTTTGAAAATTTATTGTAATATTTGTTGAGCGAACTCCTCTATTATGAGATCATCTAGCGTTTTTAAAAAAAAATTACCAGGAATATGATATTTTCGATAGCTTCTAAATCTTTCAGATTCGTACCGCTACTATACGTGTATACATACGAGTATATGGTATTTATCGCCAAATTCACTTACGGAAAGACTTAAAACCTAAATTCAAGGAAAAAAATTAAAATGAAACAGAAATTTCAATAAATTGAAATTAACCCCTTTTGAGTACAAACATAAATTATAAACGGCATATCATGGACATTATTCAGTGCAATTGCTCAATTTATTATGTGTATATAATATATATGTATATTTTGTGAAATTTAGTAACAAAATTTAAATAATTTTGTATACATAATGTGTATATTATACATAACCAGTCTACAGTGCACTACATCATGTAGTACACAATATCTTGGCACAAAAACACAGAAATAAAATAAAATTTTCCGCGTGTAAAAAGTCACAACATTGTGCATAATCATCGGTGCAGCTATCTCGCCTTTTGGGTGATAATTTCCGCTTAATTTATTAGATTGTGTTTTTTCGTATATATTTTACACTTTTTTGTTTTTCCATAACAATATACACACATCATTATATTTAGGTGAATTGCAATGCACTTGACGTACTCAATTTTTCATACCCTTGTATTCGATAAAATCTATAAATGTACGTTTAAATGTTAAGTGGGATGACGATAATTCACATTGATATTTTTATTGTAAAATTAAAAGGAGATTCTTTAATATAAAAAAAATGCCGCAAAGTAACTGCCTGCGTGGAAAGATAAACGGTATGATTACATTTTGTACATATATTACTGCTTTGAAGGCAGAATTTCCATTGTATTATTTTTGAATAAATTGTGTTTTTTTGTAATATTTTAATATAATACAAATATTTAATTGATTTTGAAAACCTTCACTCATTTTGTTAGTGAATACAAACTCTTGTTAGTGAATTCATAAAAATTTCATTCCCGAAATGAGCTTAAAATTTTAAAAAAAGTGTAAATACTCAAAATGTTGTCATTACTTTTGCTTCTTGTTGAATTTTCGAGTTATTCATTTAAATTATTTATCGCATTCCCTCCTACAACCTAAATCCAGAACCTGTATTTGTATACACACGTCTCGTGAATCTAAAACGTGAATTTTATTTCATTATTAATTTAGTAAAGGCATATAATGCTATTTATAAAGCTATGTTATTAAGAGAACGATCACAATTACATTTTTACTTTTACAAAAGTTCATTAA